ATACAAGATATTCCTAGAGAGTATAGTTCTTTCTCCCTGAACCTTCCAAATGAGGCTTTATTGTCAACTCCACATTTGCTTATGGTGAGACATTGTCACGTGACTCCTTTCTCTTCCAGAATCTGGGAAACAGATCTGCTAACGATACCAACAAATATCATTGGGTTTGGAGATTTGAGAGATCACCCCACTGTCTCCCTAGTTGTTCTTCTATCCCTCATGGCAGTTGGGATATTACTCAGGATTACTTTTTGGAGTTTCTAGAAAAGGCAGGAGCTTGGAAAGACTTGTTATTGAAATAATGAAGAGTGAAATGAGTAGAACCAAGAGAATATTGCATGCAATAACAGCAATGTTGTCCAAATAACTGTGAATGACTAAGCTATAAAAATATTATAAATATTCAGATCACTGACAAAGGACCTATGAAGGAAGACGCTATCCATCGCCAGAGAAAGGACCAACACACACACACACACACACACACACACACACACACACACACACACACACATGCATCTTGAACTTAAAATGTAACACAGAAAAAGTAATAAAATTTTAAAAAAGAAAAGAAAAGGGAGGAGTCAGAGTTACTCTCCCCAGAGTGAGAGTTAGAACCCTTGCAGTATTTGCACTTGCTACATTTCCAGTATGATCCTGTGCTGATGACTTTTGCATCATGGAAGTGACCTGAGGTATGTTCATAGATATGTCAGTGGAGAACAGCTCTGAGCTTAGCAGTTTTACTAAGCTGGAAAATTTTCATCTGGAGATCCAATGACAGGTTGTCTGTCATTCAAAGACTGACTTAGCTAAGTTTTTAGAGATTCATCACCAGAAGGCTGATTACCAAGTGATAGCCACAGAAACTTATACAGCACTGTACAGTGTCGCCTCAAAATCTTAGTACAATTTTAAGCATTAGTAGCTCAAAACAGCACTAATACTTTGGGGCCACCATGTATATTAAGAAATGAAAGGGTTGGGGGGCATCTAGGTGGCGCAGTGGGTAGAACACCGGCTCTGGATTAAGGGGGACCTGAGTTCAAATCCAGCCTCAGACACATAACACTTATTAGCTGTGTGACCCTGGGCAAGTCGCTTAACCCCATTGCCTAGCCAAAAAAAAAAAAAAAAGAAAAAAAAGAAAAAAGAAATCAAAGGGTCAAAGGGTCAAAGGATTTGGGATCTGGGAGGAACCTTAGAGACCACCCAGTTCAAACCCCTAATGTTACAGGTAAGGAAACTGTGACCCCAGAGGAGAAATGATTTTGCCAAGGCCATGAGTTCACTGATGAATAAACAGATTTTGTGAAGTATTATAAACATATAAGAAATTAGATCAATTTTCTTCTAAATATTTGCTTCCCAAATGTTGGCTGTTTTCCTGGTCTTTTTTGTTATGCCAGGGGCCAGAATTATCCCTAAGGGAATACCTCTCTAAAATTATCATAAAAGTAAATAGGAAAATTTGATTTGAATATAAAAATTTAATTTATGTATAATTTTTTCAGGAAAACATCATCTAGTACATTGCCTTAATTGTTTTAAGAAAATGAGGAATAACATCTAGCAAGAAAGCTATACTCTACAAGAGGCTCTATCCAAAGCTCACCTTATAAATCCCCTACAAAGACACATTCAGGAGTCTATCAAAGAGATAAGAGGAGAAAAACTTTATCTTTTCTGAAAAGCTGGAGTTCCATATCAGACCTTAAAGTTGTTAAGAAGCAGTGGCAGGCTTCCATGTTCTGTCTAATAAAAAAAATTATTTTTATAATTTTTTAAGGTCCACAACATATTTTACAATAATCCTGTGAAACAGGTATTAAAAGTATTATCTTCATCCCATAGGTGGTGGTATTTCTTTTCTCACCACCCCATTGAAATATGAGTTCCTTGAGGAAAGGGATTGCCCATCCTTCTTATTGTCTCCTAACTTATCATGGGTATCAGTTCTCTTTTATTAATTTTTGTTCTTTGATAACCACTTTTTTTGTGAATTAATGAATCAATAAACATTTATTAAGGGCAGCTAGGTGGCTAAGTGAATAGAGCACCAGGCTTGGAGTCAGGAAGACTCATCTTCCTGAGTTCAAATTTGGCCTCAGATACGTTACTAACTATGTGACTCTGGGCAAGTCACTTAACACTGTTTGCCTCAGTTTCCACATTTATAAAATGAGCTGGAGAAGGAAATGGCAAACCATTGCAGTATCTTTGCCAAGCAAACTCCCAAAATGGAGTCACAAAGAGTTAGACATGACTGAACAACATTGTGCTGTTTTTTCTCTTTACCAGAGAAAACAGAATCAGGAGAAGAATTACACATTTTTGCCTCCTTCTGTTAGTAATCATGATCCCATTCACCCCAGGTTAGAGTGGGTAAGGGTCTTCACCATGATCACCCTGACAACATCAGAGTTAAGATTCAAACCTAAGTGTCTAGATTCTAAGTCCAGTGTATTTCCACACTGCCTCATACCATACACTTCACCACTTTAAGCATCTCAAAAATCTGAGGTGTTTTTTTTTTCCATTGTGAATACTCCCTGAACCAATTTAGATGACATCCTCTCTATGATTCATATCACAGTAACAAATACACATAAAATTGGGACCATCGTATATAATATTTCATATTGCTAGATTGCAAGTTTCCCTGGCGTTAGGAACCATAACTCATACCTCTTAACACCCATGGTGCCTAACACAGTGCCTTCTGTACTAGTAGATACTCAGTAGTTGGTTGTTGTAATACTAGTGGTGAGGAGGAGGAAGTAAAAAAAAAAAGAAGAAAATGAAGAATAGGGGAGATAGGGTGAAACATTTTGCATTTTCCTTATGAATGTGCCTTTAGTTCAATTAGCTAAAGCAGTGTTAATGATGGGGTTGGTTTGATCACTATGTGAGCTGAAGAACTTTGCTTCATAGCCTAGTCACAGACTACAGCTAACCCCAGCCAGTCCTCCTAGAGATGCTTGCCACTAGCCACAGCAGGTATCAAGTAAGAGAGTGTAGATTGGTTAACACAAATCCACCATCGCTGCTGGAAAAATAATTCAAAGAGCATATTCTACTGAGTCAGCAGTGTCATCTTTGTCTCTGACGAAGCCTCTGAGATTTTAGGATGGTAGAGTCTGAAGTGTGCAAAGGCATGATTCCAAGAGTAGAAACAACAAAATGCAGGATGGAAGAGAGATGGAAGTTTCTCAAAAGCAAAATTTCAACAACAATGAACTAAGATTGATGACTAGAAGCTACAGGAAAGTAGATTTTTATCACAATGTTAGAAACCAACTTTCTGACAAGTAGAGTCACTTTGCTGTAAGATGGGCAGCTTTATGAGACAGTTCTGGTCACTGGAAATTTTGTACAGCTTACTGACAACTCACTGAGGATGTTGTAAATGAGATTCCTGCTTGGGATTTAAGGTTGGTATGCATGACCTCCAACATTCTATGATTCCCTTGGTTCATTCTTGAAATTAAAAATAACTTATATAATTGGTTCTTAGTTGAAAATGTATTTGATCCAAATCCCATTAATCATGAGATAGAAACATTTTTAGCCTCAAAGAGTATTTCTGTTAAGTAAATAAGAGAGAAAAATTGAGTATACATTTGGTACTTGTTAAGAAATAGAAAAATAGACCAGTGGAACAAATAGATAAATGAAAAAGAAATAATGGAACTCAACAACCCAATAATCCAAGAATATAAATTATTGGGAATGAATTCCCTATTCAATAAGGACTGATAGGAAAACTGGAACGCAGTTTGGCAGAAATTAGGTTTAAATCAACATATTATGCCACATGCCGCAACAAAGTCAAATAGATATACAACTGAATCCTAATAGTCCTACCACCAAAAAATTAGAAGAGAACCACCTCAGGGAATTTCTGCAGCTACGATTAGTCAGAGACTTCTTTGCCAAATAAGAGAAAGCAATAAACACAAAAGATAAAACAACTGATTTAACTGACATGAAATGGAAAAACATTTGCATTAATAAAATCAACAAAATTCAATCAGAAAGGAGGCAAAAAAATAGAAAAATATCTTTGCATGAGTTTGTAGTTTTTTTTTCCTTTGGCAGCTGGGTTGTCCCCTTTTAAAACAGCCTAAAATTGGGTTTACTTTTTTTTTTATCACATAGCTAATTCATTTTGAACTTGTAGTTCACTAAAACTCTAAGATCTTCTAGGTCTATGATTTAACTCACCAAGAACTTATGAAATACCTTCTCTATCCAGACACCATTCTAGACATTAAGGACATAGACAAAAAAAGAAACAAGCTGCCTTCAAGGAGATTACATTCCATTGGTGTAGAGGAATATATATAATATGTACATAGGCAAATTCAAGGTAGTTTGAGGAGGGAAGGAGCACTAACAACTTGGGGGGGGACATGTCATGGAATGAGAGAGATCAATTCCTTGATAAAACTTAGGAAGTACATTTTATTCCTCTCTGTATTCCCCCATGGTACCTGGGACAAGACTTTTACTTGTTTTGTTGATTTAAATAGCCACTTAAATATTCATAGCCAGGACCAAAACTTTTAAGAACCCACATGGGATTCTGCAGTTCATTTCCCTGCTTGGTAGCCACTTTATTGGAACATGTGACTGGGAATAATATCTATTTTTTTCTCATCCAAATTCTGTGTTTGTTTGGAAGTGTTAGCCATTATGTGTTTACATAGCTAATTTATCTGAGATAGACTGCAGTTATACCCCAGGGGACCAACTCAGAACTTTGGCTCTATCATTAGGGTCATAAATTAGAAATGTCATTTGTCATCCCTGTTGTAAAGGTTTATACACTCTTGTGATTTGAGAACAAGCATATTTCCATCAATAAAGAGAGTCTTCTTGTTAGCCACAAGCATGGCAGCCTGCTATGCCCATATTTGTTTGCTAGATGTAGAATAGAATTGTTTCAGATTTAATGCAGTTTTCAATATATGTGAGTCATTCTGCCTGTTTCTTAGGTATTCGCCGCCAGACTGCCCGCTGTATGAAGAAGGGGAAAGGCATGGTCAGAGCTACATTTTGTGACCCTGAAACCCAGCCTAATGGCAGGCAAAAGAAATGCTATGAAAGGAATTGTCCACCCAGGTAACATTGAATAATGTTGTGTCTCAGCTCATAAGAACCCATTGTCCAGAAAGCAACGTACAGTAGAAATTAGGATTTTCCATGGTTATAGTATCAGTTTCTGCAACAATATACAATTGAAAACAATGTCTCCCTAGGGAGTGAAATACGTATATAAAATAGAGTATGGCTGTGGTCTGGGTGTAATTATTTGGTAAGTATGAATCACAAAGTAATGTGGTAGGCAAAGCCTTGCAGATTTCTGGAAAACTACTTAGCAGGAGAATTTTAATCTTCTGGGCTACTTTAGGTATCACTTTCTTTGTAAAGACTTCCCTGATTCCCTTGGCTGAGAATGATCTTTCTCCTTCTAATTTTCTGAGAACATTTTATATCTTTTCTTTGTCCTCATCTTAATACATCCCTGGGATCACACAATGTGAAGCTGGATGCCACTTTAGTTATCATTTAGTCCAAACCTTCATTAATGAGGAGACAGAGATCTAGTAAGGTTAGATGGCTTATTCCAAGTCATATAGACAGTAAGTAGAAAATCTGAGATTTTCCCAGTAATACAATCTAAGATTTGGAAGGGATCTCTTTTTGTTGATATGTTTTATTTTTTCCAATCACATGTAAAAACAATTTTTAACATTTGATTTTGTAAAAATAATTTTTAACATCTTTAAAAAATTTTGAGTTCTAAATTCTCTTCCTCCTTCCCCCTCCACCTCATTCAGAAGATAAGCAATTTGATACAGATTATCATGTGCAATCATCAAAAACATATTTCCATATTAGTTATATTATAAAAGAAAACACAGACAAAAAAACCCAAGAAGAATGTGCGCATCACTTTGCATCAGTTCATGTATGTCTTTTAGAATCTCAAAGGCTTTCTGGTCCAATCACATGTGACCATGTGATCCCCTCTGTGATAACTGTTGAGAAGTGGGCACTCAACATTTGCTAGCTTCAAGCCCAAGGAAACCCATTCCTCTTTAGGATAGTACTAATTGCTAGGAATTTTCTCTCTACATCAAGCCTAAATCTGCCTTTCTACAACTTATACTCATTGCTCCTACTTCTGTGTGCTGGGGAAGAATAAATCTAATTCATTTTATGTATGAAAGCCTTATCTTATCCAGACTATAAATCTTGAGTAGCTTCAATCAGTCTTTTTAATGCTTGATCTTTCCCTCTTCTCACCATCCTGCTCATACTTTTCTGGGCATGTTCCAGCTTCTCTTTAGAACTGAACACAGTACTCAAGATGTATCCTTGAAAAGGCAGAGTGCAACAGAATAACTTCTTTATACAGTCTAGGTTTCCTTTCATAAAGCCTAAATTTAGTTTTGGAGGCTGCTGTGTTGCATTTAATTCATATGGAGCCTACAATTTTCTGAAACCAATTTACTTTCTCATATGACTGTGCCTCTCGGATTTGTTATTTGTGAAATTGATTATACTTTATGTTTATGGTGGTATTGTATATTGCAGAGAACTTCACATGTATGCCTATTAAATTTTATCTTTCTCAATTTGGTCCCTTAGTCTCCACCAAACAAATTCAATAAATGTTTATTAATGTCCATTGTGTTCAAGGCACTTATTGCCCACATATGATCATGCACTAAAATGTGTTTGTTGAATTTGTTAGGTGCTGGAAGACCATGCTGATATTCTTTCCATCTGAACTAATCTTCATGTCCTAGGATCCTAACTTTGTTATCCGATGCATTGGCTATCTCTCTCAGCTATTTGTCACTTATGTATATGACAAGCATTCCATCTACTCCTTTACCCAGGTCATTGATAAAAAATGTTAAATAGTTCAGGAACCCTGGAAATAATAGTCTTTGGTTTCACTCATTCAAACAATTCCAAATGCACTTAATCATGCTATTGTCCAGCCCCCCATCTTCTCCATCTTGTCAATCAATATGAAAGACTGTCAAATGCTTTGACGAAATTTAAATACAATATAATGTAGTATTAAATTGATCTACCAGTCTAGTTACCCTGTCAAAAGAGGAAATGAGGTTAGTCTGGAATGACCTTTCTTGAAGAAATCGCACTGGCTTTTAGTGATCACTGCTTCCCTTTCTAAATGTTCACAAGCCATCCTTTTAATTCTATGATCTAGGATTTTTCCAGAAAGAAAGTGAAGCCCATAGACCTCACATAGCACTTTCTTTGCATGTCTCACATGTATTAATTTGCAGTCATTTCTGTATGTGTCATGTCCCTGTATCAGAAAAAATAGCTAACATTTATAAAAGCACTTTTAGGTTTGCAAGAACTTTTACATATATTGTCTTCAGACTTTAAGATCCCCAAGGACAGGGTCTGTGTCTTACCTAAACATTTTTTCTCTTAGTGCTTAGCACAGTATTCTACACACATTAAATATTTAACAAATTATTCTCTCCAATGTTTGTGTCTGACATTCATTAAAACAAATTTGTTGCATTGAGTTGATTTTAAGATCAGTTACAGAATCATAGGAATTAAAACCAGATATGCTTTAGATATAATCTAGTCCAATTCACTCATTTTATAGATGAGAAAACTGAGGCCCATAGAGATTAGGTGATTTTTTGCAAAGCCAAATAGTTATTATTGTAGGTAGAGTTAAGATTCAAACCTGGGTCCTCTCTCATCAACAGCAATAGCTTCATAAATAAACATTTGTTGAACTCCTGCTTTGTATAAGGCACTGTGTTAGAGGCTGAAGACATAAATGTTAGACATAGTCCATTTCCTCATACAAGATAAAATATATATATGAAAACTAACCAATAGCAAGGGAAAAAAGCATACTTTTTGCTTTAGGATGACTATTCAACTATAGAAGGATCTGTGGCTTACTTCCAATGAATAATCAATCTACTCTCAACCATTGATGACTAAGAACTGAGCATCATTCTTTAAAGATTAATTTTTTAGGCTTTAAATTTAAAAATATTAAACTTTCTTTTTTTCTTATGAGTGTAACAGCAATCAAACACAAGCCTTTAGTGAGAAAGAAGACTGAATAAGAAATTGTCTGCTTCTCTAATGGATGGTTTCTTTTTTAAGAATAGCAATCCAAAAGTGGAATGGGCTGCATTGGGAGATAGTGAATTCCCTATGTTCTTCTGCATCCCAGGTCTGTGCTCTTTCTACTATGTAGGAACATAAATCTAGAGTTTCAAAGACCTTAAAGGTGATGTAGTCTGACCCCCTTACTTCGTACAATTGAGGTTATGGCCAGAGAGGTTAAGTAAATTGCCTAGGGTAATTCAGCTAGTAATTGTCCAAGGCAGGATTTGAACCCAAATCTTCCTGACTCCAGGTTCAGCATTCTATCATGATGTTTTCAAGGAACTTCCAAAGCAGTGGATCAGAGTACAAACTGATAACCCACGGATCTTGTAGATACTTTGTTCTTTCTACATGCCTCTCTAGTTCCTTGTTGTCAGAGCATCTTGAGAACAAGGACATTAAATCTTCCCACAGAAATGCTCTCCAATTAAGCATTAAGCATTTTAAATCAGATCAGTCTTTTGAAATGGACCAGCTTTTCTGCCCCTTATAAGGAGAAAGGAAGCTCTACTAATTACAATGAAAAAGCTAATGGGTCCTAAATAGGAATTGTGTTCCATGGCAACGCACCTCCACTCCTGCAAGAACACCTGGGTTTTTTTTCCCCTTGATTAGTAGATAATTAATCATGTTTATAGCTGTATCTTCTACACTATTTTACTATGATCCTCAGAGGAAAAAGAAAAGAATAGTAGCAAGCATTTATACAGTGCTATAAGGTTTAGCAATGCATTTTAATTTTATATTGTTTGATTCTTACAACACTGTGAAGTAAGTACAATTATTACTCCCCATTTTACGGATGAGATAATTTAGGCTGAGGAAGGTTAAGTAACTTTAACAGCTAGTAAATATCTGAGGCAGAATTCCAATGCAAGGCTTCTTGATCCCAAGGCTAGAGTTCTAACCACTGAACCATCTGACTCAAAGAAAATGAAAAACAAAAGCCCAGCACCTCATGTATTAGTCATTTTTGTTGTGTGATAAGTGTATTTTTCCCCAACCCTACCTCTAGAATATCTTGATCTTCAAGAAATGAGTATTAAAAATAGCATTGAAGGACAAGGCTATAAAGTGACTTGATAAGTCCTAAATTTCTACCACCTAACACTTTCCTGTTTTTCTTAGGACCAGTTACTTTTCCCTTCATAATATTCTCCACCTTCTGAATGCCTGTGCACAGCCTAGGTTATTCAAGAGTACCTGTCTTACCTCCCCTACAAGATTAAATGTCCTTGAGGGCCAGGACATCTTCTTGTTGTCCCCATGCCCCAAAGCATTCAGCTCAGTGCCTTGCTTACAGTGGCAATACCTATTGGTTGAACAAGTAAATTGACCAATAGCTGTCAAAGATCAAAAAATTAGTAGAGTATGCTTGATTGGACAAGTCTCTCCTTAGCCTAAGGACTTATTTACTTAACAGATAAATTCATTTTTTATTGGAGGGAGGTTGTGCATCTAAATGGTGTTTGCTGAGCCTCCAAAAGTAATAAATCATGTTTGGAGATTTTTTTTATGTCTTGGGGTGTGGTTCAAATTTAGTTAAGCAAGTGGATTTGGGGTCCCATGACACCAACTAAAAGAAGTAAGTTCAGATAGTTGTTTGAACTGTATGTGGACACAGGCTGAGTTGTGGTCTTATTTATTTCTATCCAGATATATTTATTTTATTGGTATCTGTCAATCCGAAAGAAGGTTGACTGAAAGATGAAAGCTCATTTCAGGTGGGAGGGGGAGGTATGTACATGATGGCTTCATGGTGTGCAGATGATTGAAAAGTAGGGTTAGAGGCCCGTTCCAGGCAGGATTAGTCAAAAGCTATCTTATTAAAGCTAGGAAACCCAGAGGTGGATTCAAATCATGAACAGACCAGATTAATATGTACTAAAAAGTTCACAGCAAGAAAAATCAATTAGAAATAAGTTTTATGGATC